ATAAACACAATTAAGACTTCTAGGAGCTTTTTATAATAGGACATGGAAGGAATTCTTGAATAATTCACACACACCTGATCATAAAAGGAACAGGTCGATCATGTGTGTGTGAATTATTCAAGAAATTCACATTAAAGTCAAGAACTTACAGCTATCAATGAAATGCAAATCAAACCCATTATGAGATAACCATCTCAGGCCCACTAGGATGACTATTATAAGAAAAAAGAAAATAGGTAATAACAACTATTGGCAAAGTTGTGGAGCAATCAAACCATCATACTTTGCTGGTGGAAATGCAAGATGGTGCAGCCTCTTTGGAAAATAGTCCAATAGTTCTTCAGAAGGTTAAATGTAGATTTACCGTGTGGACCAGCAATGCCACTTGAAGGTATATAGCCAAGGGAAATGAAAGCATGCTCACAAATAACTTACTCCATACATTTATAGCAGGATTATTCACGGTAGCTAAAAAGTGGAAACCCAGGCTGGCCCCGTGGCCTGTTAGTTAACGGAGCCAGATCCTACATGGCTGACTACACATTTCGAGTCCCAGACCTGGTAACTTGAAAACTATGCCAGGTGCATGTACATGCATGCCAAAATCCTAGCAGGACAGAGTAATGGAGGACAAGGGATTGGAGTGTGACCACAGCTGTCCTCACGAGAGCCTAGGAGCTGGAAGATGTCTTTTCTCTTCTCCCAGAGGCAGACCCAGTCCTTAAATTGTCAAGTACCATTATCCATGCATGTTTAGCGTAGATATAAATATACACACCCAATGGAAGGTGCTTTCTTTCTCATCCTCTGTTTTTCTGGAAGTGCATATGCCTTCTTGCAGATTGAAACAAAAAATGGTAGTAATGCAAATGTCCACCAGCGATGAGTGGATAAAATATTTATGAGTATTTGGGAAAAAGAAAGTACTCGTGGTACAACATGGGTGAACTTGAAACGTGATAAATGAAAGAAGTCAAGTCACATAAAAAAGACCATATGTAATTCCGTGTATTTGAAGTGTTCAGAGTGGGAACTCTATAAACAGGAAGTAAACTAATGCTAGCTTTAGGACTGGGGGAGATAGGGAGCGCCTGATAAAGAGCTTGGGATTTCTTTATGGCATGGTGAAAATATTTGCAAATTGATTGTAGAGAATTTGGCCAACTCTATGGAGATGATAAAAATAATTGAAATGTGTACTTGAAATGGTTAAAGTTTATGGTATTTGAAATGTGTACTTGAAATGGTTAAAGTTTATGGTATTTGAGTTACATCTCAATAAAGCTGTTTAAAATATCAAGAACTGGGAGACCAGCGGATAGAGTAGTGGTTACAGTGCTGGACTCGCATGTAGTCAACTGTGGTTTGAGTCCTAGACGACCCAGCAGCTTAAAACACACCGGGTGTGTGTGAGTGCATGCCCAAAATTCCCAGAGGAAAATGGAGGATAAGGGATTGCAGCCTGGCCATCCTCCTTAGGAGGTGACTTTTTGCTTTCTTTCTCTCTGTCTCAGGCATGCACCCTCTAGCAAAAGTTTCTCCAGAAAAAGAAGAAAAATATCAAGAACTAGTCCAGTAGGTGGCATGGTGGTAATGCACTGGACTCTCACATGGCCAGCCACGGTCTGAATCCCAGATTCGGTGACCCGTCCTCTTACTTTCTCTCTCTCTGGTCAAATTAAAAATAATAATAAATAAATAAATCTTTAAAAAAAATCAAGAACCTTTTACATGGCAGGAAATAAACCATATTAAAGAAATTCCACAGACTTGGAGTAGTTATATGTAACATATGAAATTGTTGAGAACTCTTGTCCACAACATAAAACAAACTTCTAAATATTAATAAAGGATAGAGACCAGCAGATAACATCATGGTTACAATGCTAGATTCCCACATAGTCCAACACAGTTCAATGCCCTGGACATGGAGGTTTAAACGTTGGGTGCCCGTGTGTGCATGTCCTAAATCCCATGAGGAGAATGGAGGAGAAGGGATTGCAGTGTATCCGTCTACCCTGGAGGTGATTTCTTGCTTTCTGTCTCTGTTTCTCCAGTGAGCACATACGCCCTATAGCAAAAATCTTCTCTAATATGTAAAGAAAAGAAGGAAAGAAAGGAAGGGAGGGAGGAAGGGAGGGAGGGAGGAAGGAAGGAAGGAAAGAAGGAAGGAAGGGAAGGAAGGAAGGAGGGAAGGAAGGAAGGAAGGAAGGAAGGAAGGAAGGAAGGAAGGAAGGACGGACTAATACCCTATTAGGAAATGGCCAAAGGATTCAGGTGGTGTGCTTAAAAATGAACCTAAATGGTTGATAAAAAGGTGAAAAGATGCTTGGTTCAGGGAGATGGGATTTAAAATAATTGTGAGGTACCATTTCACATCCGTCTTACTGGTCCAAGTCAATACGCCTTAGAACATCAAATGTTGGCCCAGGTACTGGGAAATGGAGCCAGCCCTTTCACTGCTGAGGGGAGTGGTCTACAGCATCAAGTTAAGTTGAAGATGGGTCCAGGTCTGTGGGCTAGTTGTATTGAAACCAGTCTTGAAGCAGCGGCAGTGCCCGTTATGAGTAAAACAGTGCGTGTGACGTGGCCTGGCTCCTCAGTCTGGTATAACTGGACTATAGAACAGCTGGATATACAGGCAGCAGTCACATTCAGTGAACTAGCTTGGCATGTACCAGCAGAGACACCTCAGAAACAGTGGGGAGTGAAAGTAGCAAGGCTGTGGACTGTGTATCGTTTCCTTTTAAGTCTTCAAATAAAGATCAGTAATTGTATCTGTGTATATGCACATGTATTATTTATATCTACACAAAGCATGTGTATATACATGTGCATGTACACACAGATAATGGTACTTGCCATTTTAAGGACTGGGTTTGCCTCTGGGAGAAGGGAAAAGACATTTTCCAGCTCACAGGGCTCTCGTGAGGACAGTAGAGTAACACATCCTGGCTTGCTACAAGGGCCTGCTGCCAGCTCTTAGGGACATTAATGTATCTTTTTGTCTCCAAAACCTGGTATAGACTATTCATTCATTCGTTTATTTAAATTTGACCAGAGAGAGAGAGAGAGAAAGAGAGGAAAGTGAGAAAGCAAGCCGCCAGGTCTGGGACTTGAACCTTGGTCAGACATGTGGGAGTCCAGCACCCTTAACTACCATGCCACCTGCTGACTCCACTGGTATAGACTTCCTTAAAAATTGCTTTTTGTTAACATAGTCTGCTCTCTATGTCTCTGGTGAGCGCACATGTCCTAGGAAAAAAACCTAGAAAAACCAAAAAGTTTAGAAACAGGTGAAGCTGTGTAACTGCAGTCCATTTTCTCATGTGCTCTTGGCCAAGAAAAAATTTTTTTGAAAAAGAATTATTTATTTACTTTTATTTATCATCATCATCATTATTATTATTTTAATTTGTGATAGGGCACCAGTGCTCATGAGAGAGACAGACAGACAGACAGACAGACACACAGAGAGAGATGGAAAGTGAGAAAGCGGGCTGCCAGGTCTGGAATGAACCACACAGTTGGCCGTGTGGGAATCCAGTGCCTTAACCACCATGCTACCTGCTAGCCCTGCCGAGGAAGGTTTTTTTTTTTTTTTTACTTTATTTATTCATTTATTTTATTTTAATTTGACCAGAGAGGGACAGAAAGAGAGAGAGAAATCAAGCTTCCAGGGCCGGAATTTGAACCGCAGTCAGCCATGTGGGAGTCTAGCCACCTGTCCCCTGCCAGCCCCTAAGAAAGTTTTTTTAATTTACTTTTTGGGACCAGCAGGTAGCATGATGGTTAAGGGGCTAGCCTCCCACGTGGCCCATCATAGTTTGAGTCCTGGACCTAGTGACTTGCTTTCTTACTTTCTCTGTCTCTTTTTCTCTCTCTCTGATGAGCACACAAGTCCTATAGCAAGTTTTAAAAAAGTAATAATAATAATAGGTAGAATTAAGTGGATGGTTCTTTGAAAAACATTGATTGTTTTTACTTGCAAGAGGTCATGTTAGCTTGCCAGAGAAAGCACTTCCCAATGGGGCACGGTCACTTGGCAAGCTCTTCCTCTCCATTTTTAAATCCTGTCTAGATTTTGGGCATGTATGCATATGTGCCTGGTGTGTTGAAGCCTCTGGATCTGGGCTTCACACTGCCTCTTCAGCCATGTAGGATCTGATTTCTTAACTATGCCATGGAGCTATTTTATAAAATGCTGCAGACTGTCTTATTTCACATTTCAGTAATAGGGAATGAGAGCATGCTCAGTTTATTTTGTACATGTCGGCATACGTTTGTGTCATGTTACTGATGTACTTAAACATCTTCGTAAGAAATTTTTATTATAGAATAATATATAACTTTCAAGATCCTACAGATAATGTCTTTTCCATCTAGTTTCTCAAATGAGTCTGTGGTCAGACATTTCTCAGATTTGATGCGTGTCCTGGGTTGGCCCCTTAGTTTGTGGCTAAGGGACCTGGATACTACCTGGTGGACTGTATTTTGAATCCCTGCACTGGCAGCTTGTGTGCCCAAAAGCATGACAGGAAGGAGGAGAGGAGGAAAGGAGATTGTGGCATGACTGTCCCATATCAGGGGGTGCTTTCTCTTTTTCTCTGGTGAGTGCACACAGTCACAGCAATGAAAAGAGAAAAAAGGAAAAAAAGGATGTTTATTTGGGCCAGCCCCTATAACCCAATGTTTACGGGCACTCAATCCCACGTGACTGACCATGGTTTAAATCCTGACCCTGACAACTTGTGTGGCTGGCATGTGCGGGTGCATGCCCAAAATTATGACAGAATGAAGAAATGGGAGAGAAGGGATCACAGCGTGACCACGAGCCCCATTGAGGGGTGCCTTCTCCCTCTCCGTCTCCTCAGTCTCGGGCACAAGCTTGCACGCTTTGGCAATTAATGCACCCCCCAACAGTACTAAAGGAAACGGAAGTGAGACTCCCAATTTTTCTTTTGATGAGCCAGCCCACGAGTCTTCTGAATGTCTTTCAGGTGGAGCTGATCAGAATAATGTTCAACATCAACCCCCTGGAGAACCTGAAGGTGTACATCAGCAGTCGGCCTCCCCTGGTGGTCTTTATGATCAGCGTAAGCGCCATGGCGATAGCTTTCCTGACGCTGGGCTATTTCTTCAAAATCAAGGAGATTAAGTCACCAGAAATGGCAGAGGTATGGTATCTTCTGACCTTTCCAGGCCGGCTGACCTGTTAGAGTGGCAATACCTTTTAGCTCTTCATACATCTTTCTTTGGCTGTGACATGTTTTTCTGAGTGAGAAGATCATTATTTATTCAGATTTTTTCCTCTTCTGTTTCTCCATGATTCATTTAGTTAGGAAGTGGTTACTGTTTGATTTAAATAATGCTACCAGTTTCAGTTAGACTATTAGACTATTTCAGCAATGAGACAGATACAGTTTGAAGAGTATATTTGTAAAGGTATTTGTCTCAAAAAGCTAGAAAGCAGGACCAGCAGTTAGCATAATGGTTATGTCACTGGACTCCCACATAGTCGACTGCGGTTCGTGTCCCGGACCCGGTGGCTTAAAACTCACGCCGGCCGTGTGTGTGCGTGTGCCCAAGATCCCGAGAGGAGTACGGAGGAGAGGAATTGCGGCGTGGCCATCCCCCCTGGGGGATGATTTCTCGCTTTCTGTCTCTGTCTCTCTTTGTCTGGCGAGCACATGTGCCCTATAGCAAAAACCCCTCAAAAAAAAAAAAAAAAGCTAGAAAGCATGCTTTGGTATTTGTATTGAATTAGCTCATTGCACTTTCAGGAGCGTTAGATATGCCACGTATCTTGTTTTATCAGTTATACTCATGATGGCTTTTTCACTGGGATCCTAAAGAAGTGTGAAAGCAGATGTTATTTCCAAATATATCGATCTTTTATTTTATTTTTAATTTTTATTGTAGTTTTTTTGCTATAGGGCTTATGTGCTTGCCAGAGGTATAGAGAGAGGGAAAGTGAGAAATCACCCTCCTAGTATGGAATGGCCACACCGCAGTCCCTTCTCCAGTCTCCTTTTTGAATTTTGGGCACACACCTACACACATCCAGTGTGTTTTTCAAGCTGTTGGACCTGGGACTTGAGCTGCTCAGTCAGCCATGTGGGATCCAGTACCTTAATCACCATGCCACATGCTGGCTCTATATGTCTTTTTTAATAAAAGAAAACTTTATAAACTTGCCTTCTGGATCAAGCATTTTAGGTCGTTTGAATAATAAATTAAGGGGGCTCTGATATTTATTCCTTAATCTAGGCATATAATAGTTTGAATATGATTAATACAAAATTTTTTCTTTTAGGTTTTTGTCACAGGACACGTGCACTCACTGGAGAGAGATAGAGAGAGGGAAAGTGAAAATTCACCTCCCAGGAGGTGTGGCCATACCACAAACCCTTCTCCTCCATTTTCTAGGGATTTCGGACACACATGTACACATACTTGTTGTAATTTTCAAGCTGCTGGGTCTGGGATTTGAACTGTGATTGCCCGTGTGAGAATCTGGTGCCTTAACTTCCACTCCACCTGTTGGCCTGAGTAATGTAGATTTTAAAAGATGTCTATTTTAAATATTAGAAAAACAATAACAAATTTAATAATTCTTGATAGAGGTGAATGATAGTATACCTATTCATACATTTGTGTATTAGAAATTATGCTGGATATATGGCGAATTTACTGGTACATAAGTTTTCTTTTAGGACAAATTCCTGTCTTAATAGATTCCTTGAAATGTGTCTTACCCATTTTTGTTCTTGGGTTTGTTCCTTGGTGGAGTGGGCAGAAAGGCATGTGGGGAGATTGGGATTGTGGCATTGCCATGTTGTGCGCTTTGCTCCCAAGAGCGGTGTTGCGTTTGGTACACATGGGATCCTAGCTTTCTCTTGTGCTCTGTGGCAATCTAGATCATGATCTTGGCATGAAGGACAGCTTTCACTAATATTTTTAACTCGATTGAAGTAACAAGTTGTAACTGTTTCTGCCCTCAAACCCTTTAGAAGAGTTTCTTACCAAGAGACATACTGACTGGCTTACTTCTCCCTCTTTTCTGACCCAGCCTGAATCTGAAAAGGTTGATCAAGGAGGCTATACCCATATTAAGACTGAAAATGAATATTCTATTCATACCTAAAACTCTGCCATGGCTAAGATGTGGCCTCTGGGCTGGCTCCATGGCAGCTGGATCTTACATAGCTGACTGCGCGATTTGAGTCCCGAATCCAGCATCTTGAGAAACATGCCGGGTGTGTGTGTCCAAGTATACCCAAAATCCCCTAGAGGGAGAGATGAAGGAGAAGGGATTGTGGTATGACCATCCTCCGTAGAGGGTGCTTTATTCTCTCTCTCTTCCTCTCTCTCTGTCTCTTTCTCTTTCTGGTGAATGCATGTGCCCTCTAAGAGAAAAAAATAAAAAAGATGGGGTCTTGATAGTTAACCTTTAATGTTGAAATAGGACTTGGTATTGGCCTTGGAGGACTGTTTCATGTGGATTTAAGTTCACCAGGAAAGTGATGCCATGGAACTTTAGTTATGATGAATTTAGTGATTTCTTTTCTTTTTTTAAAAAAAAATTATATTATCATTTATTCAATGTATTTATTCTTCAATTTGACTAGAGAGAGACAGAGAGGGAGAGAGGAAGTGTGAGAAAGCAAGCTACCAGGTCTAGGACTTGAACCGTGGTCAGCCATGTGGGAGTCCAGCACCCCAACCACCACGCCACCTGCTGGCCCCGATTTCTTTTCTTTTTTTTAAGAGAAATTTTTCCTATAGGGCATGTGCGCTGACCGGAGAGACAGAAAGTAAGAAATCACCTCCTAGGAGGGATGGCCATACCACAGTCCCTTTTCCTCCATTCTTGGGATTTGGGGCATGTGTGTACACATACCCAGCGTGTTTTAAGCCACTGGATCTGGGACTTGAACTGTAGTCAACTATGTGGGAGTCTAGCAACGTAACTATTATGCCATCTGCTGGTCCCTAGTGATTTATTTTCAAATGAGGATCTTAGGTTTCAGAAAGTTATGATGTCTAGAAGTTTGGGGCTGTGAATCAGAAAACCTAATGCTGATTCTACCCGCATCTACAGAATTGGAGAGTCTCAGACTTGCTCTGGGCCTCAGTTTCTTCGTGGTTGGCATTCAGAGAACTCCAACTAGAATATTCATTTTCCAGCCCAGGTGTACTAGAATGGCCTGCTCTGTTTGTAGATTCCAGAGAAAATACTATTTGGTACAGCTGGTTGCATTCTTATTAAATGTCACACAATTGCCTGATTCCCTAAAGGTAGGCTTACTTGACTACTTGGGAATGGCTCACGTGGCATTTTTTTTTTAATAATGTATTTTTTTTTTAAGAATCATTTTATTTAGCTTTATTTATTTATTTAACTTGACCAGAGAGGGACAGAGTGAGTGAGAGAGAGAGAGAAAGCACACCATCAGCTCTGGGACTTGAACTGAGGTTTGGCCATGTGGGAGTCCAGCGCCCTTAACTACCACGCCACCTGCCGACCCTACTCATATGGCTTTTATAAAGATTATCCATTTTCCTGATAGACACGAGAGAGGAGGAGGAACCGATCCTCAGCAGGGTCCCACCACACTGTCATATACTCACCGCAACCCTTCTAGCCAGTCAGAATCATGGGCATGACCAAGTTCTCCACATGCCTTCCAGCTTTGAAGAGGGGCCCCACATCACAGAGGCTGGTCTCGGATAGTGTTAAAGTACTTCAAAGTGTAGCTTGATTTGCCTTCACAATGATAAGGTTTTGTAAAGTAATGTTCCTTGGGAGAAATTCCATGTAATAGGCTAGGTTAGGTTTGCTGTTGCCAGTTCAGCATGGGTTTACCTTTGGGTTTCCACAACAGTTGCAGTAGATCTTGGTGGGAACTTTACTGTGTTGAAATCTGTCTAACCATGACATAATGGGCTGTATATGGTTACTTCACAAAGTTTGTGGATGGCTAAGTAGTTAAGGGATCTCACATGACCAACCATGGTTTGAACCCTAGCCTGGAGGCTTGAAAAACATACGAGGTGCCGGTGTATATGCCCCAAATCCTGATACAATGAAGAAATGGAAGCAAAAGGATTGTGGCATGACCACACCTCATTGTGAAGGGGCATTTTTCTTTCTGGCAATGGCACATACCCTCTGGCAATTAAAAAAATGTTTATAGAAAAATGGATTTAAAGTAAATTTATTTTGATGCCCCAAAAATGAAATCTATGTATAGTTTTTTGTAATACACACTTTCGCTGTAGGGCATGTGCTCTCGACAGAAAGTCAGAGAAAGACAGAGAGACACAAAGCGAGAAATCACCCCCTTGAAGGGATGGCCATGCCACAATCCCTTCTCCATTCTCCTCTCATGATCTTGGGCACGCACGCACACATGCCTGGCATGAGTTTAAGCCACTGGGTCCAGGACTCGAACCGCAGTTGACTACATAGGAGTTCAGCAGTGTAGCCATTATGCCATCTGCTGGTCCCCTCACATGTTTTTTAAAAACTTGCTTATAGGGGCTGGCAGGTAGCATGGTGGATAAAGGCATTAGACTCTCACATGGCCGACTGTGATTCGAGTCTTAGACCTGGCAGCTTGCTCTGTCTCTCTCTCTCTCTCTCTCTCTGGTCAGAATTGAAAACTGATGATAATAAATAAATAATTATTTTTAAAAATGTAGATTATTTTAAAAATCTTGCTTATATTTTAATCATCAGTACATATTAGATATGAAGAGAAGGCTGAAAATATCTTGTGTCCTTCCTTTTGAAGTTGTTTCTTATCTAAGCGCTGTTCAAAGTCTGTGACAAGGTGGAAAAGGTACCATATGAGTTAATTGGGTTTTATAGCTGTTTGACGCTCTAGAGAGAAAGTATTGTGTATGGAATTGACCTTTTAACACAGTCTTATTTATTTATTTAATTAAAGATTTATCTTATTTAACTTTTATTTATTTTAATTTGATCAGAGAGGGACAGAGTGGGGGGGGGAGTGAGAAAGCAAGCCACCAGGTCTGAGACTCCAACCTTGGTTGGCCATGTGGGATTCTAGCATCCTTAATCATCATGCCACCTGCTGGCCCCAAGACAGCATTATTTAAAACAAAACAAAACAAACAAACAAAAACCAAAAAAAACTAACATTAACTGGTAAATGAGCTCGGATTAATGCTTTTAATGTTTTATAGCTTTTGTTCAAGCCGCCTTTTCAAGTTTGAATTTGAGGCTAGGTCATTTTCTCTTAAATATAATATGTAGTTTTTTTAAAAATAATTTTGTTGAATACATTTGTTTAATCTTACAGTTTTATTTAGTAACTCATGCCAACGTAGAATTTAAATTTTAGATTGTGAAGTGAACGTGAGTAGGGCAAACCACACTGTTCTGCCAGTGGGAGAAGCTGATGGCTGTGTCGTCACTGTTACTTGAGGTGTCTGATTTCAAGTTGTTGCTTACCTATTGCGATGTGGTGCCACACTGAGGGCCATGACGTCCTCCTGCAGGGGGAGATTGCGGGACTGCTCACATTTATTCCTCTTTGTTTTACTTTACTCAAGGATTGGAATACTTTTCTGCTGCGGTTTAATGATTTGGACTTGTGTGTATCAGAAAATGAGACATTAAAGCATCTCACAAATGACACGACAACGCCAGAAAGCACAATGACTAGTGGGCAGGCCAGAGCATCTACCCAGTCCCCCCAGGCCCTAGAGGATGCAGGCCCGGTTAACATCTCAGTTGCAATCACCCTAACCTTGGATCCGCTCAAACCCTTCGGAGGGTACTCTCGCAACGTCACCCATCTGTACTCGACTATTTTGGGCCATCAGATTGGACTGTCAGGTATGTGGTAGCCCCTTTCCTTTCAGGCTTCGTAGGCTGCAACCAGTGCAAGGAATGTTAACTCTGTCAGGCTTTACTCATCGTGCAATTTTATTTTCGTGCATATCTCCTTTGTGGAGTTTAAACTACATGATGTCAAGAAGGAACCATTTCTGCTCCACGCTTGGTTAGTAAAGTGCTTGGAATACAGTAGTCTCTCAAAAGCCAGTAAGAGTGAGAAACTGTGGGAAAAACTGCAAGGACTGTTTCTAGTGGTAATACTTACAGACACATGTTTTTCATTCTTGTTTATCCTGTTGGAGTTTTCAGACTCTTTGTGGAGCTTATTAATACATAATTATGTGCTGTTGTCTTGATATTTTTTGAATGCCCACTGTTAGCTCTGCGCTGTTCTTAGCTGCTGGGAAGAGCTAGAGAAAGCCTAAGATCTGGTCTCTTCTTGGATTTTTTTTTTTTTTTTTTTTTTTTGGGGAGGTTTTTTTTTTTTTTTTTTTTTTTTTGGAGAGGTTTTTTTTTTTTTTTTTTTTTCTTTTCTTTTTTTTTTTTTTTTTTTTTGCTATAGGGCTTGTGCGCTCGCCAGAAAGACAGAGAGAGACAGAGATACAGAAATCGAGAAATCACCCCCCCTAGAGGGGATGGCCCCACCGCAGTCCCTTCTCCATTCTCCTCTGGGGATCTTGGGCACTCACACACATGTGCCTGGCATGAATTTAAGCCGCCGGGTCTGGGACTCATACCGCAGTCGACTACATGGGAGTCCAGTGACATAGCCATTATGCCAACTGCTGGTCCTTCTTCTGGGAATTTTTTTTATTATAAAAGAGACAAAGATACCATGAGTTAATATTTATCAAGCACTTAAAATAGTTCCTGGCACAGAGCGAATGCTAAGTGCTTGTTCAATAGCATGGGAAAAAAACACCCTATAAAATATGGAGCACTGCCCTTTGACCAGCACTGAATCTATGACAGACTGTAAGTGACTCAGGAGAAGGATGAGAAAACAGTAGAAGCTGGAATAATCAGAAAAAGTTTTGAACAGGAAGACTGGGCCTTTCTTTTTTTGGTTAACAAAATCTTTTTCTTTTTTTTTTTTAAAGTCCTAAAAGAAATTTGTGAGTTCCTACTAACCTCTTATGGTTGTTAAAAGGTGACAACAGACCAGTCCTGTGGCCTCATGGTTACAGGAGCCAGATCCCACGTGGTCAGCTGCAGTTTGAATCCTGGCTCCCAGCAGCTTAGGAAACATGCTGGATGCGTGTGTGTGTGTTTCCCAAATCCCAACAGGATGGAAAGATGGAGGGAAAGGACCATACCCCATGGGGGGTGCTTTCTCCTTTCTCTCTCTGTCTCTGTCATTCTCTGGCGAGAGTACATGCTCTCTGGCAAAAACAAAAAAATAAATTAAAAAAAACTGTTCCTGTACAGGTTGCTTCTGGGTTTTTCCATGTAGCAGGTACACCTCTTTGTTCTGGTGTGGCATTAGAACACTTCAGTTTTAGTTTAAATTTCATCACCTACCAGCCCTGTGACCTTTTATAAGTCTGTTAGACTTCTGACCTCTGTTTAACAGGGAACAGTAACGGCTCATTGGTCATGTTCATGACACGGCAGTGAACTTTTAGTCACACATATGAAAGCACTTTGAAAATGGCTTTCCAGCTCTGATCCTGCCTGGGCTCATGCTTGTCAGCTGGCCCTGGCTGCTGAGTAGCCCCTCTCTGTTTGCCACTTTGTGTCAGATCAGGATTGCTGTTGTTCCAGAAATCCCACAAAGGCTGATAGGTGATTCCTGGGTGGATTTGATTTCAGGATTCCTTGACATTCCCAAAGAATGATAAACATATGTATTCTTGCCTTTATTTATCAGAAACCGATTTCTCTTCCTTAGGCAGGGAAGCCCACGAGGAGATAAACATCACCTTTACCCTGCCTACAGCTTGGAGTTCGGATGACTGTGCTCTTCACGGTCACTGTGAGCAGGTGGTGTTCACAGCTTGCATGACCCTCACAGCCACCCCCGATGTGTTCCCTGTCACTGTGTAAGTGCCGCACCCCCAGAGGATGTGTGTGAGAAGCGCCTTCTGCTGCATACGTAGCCGGGCCGCCCTGGCATAAGCTCTCAGGACACTTGTGTTACTCTGTGGGATTGTCACCACCGGTCCTGTCTAAAGGATTCTTTAAGTTTAATTTGGAGTTCTAAAGGTAGGACTTGTGCTTGTAAATATCAGGCACATAGTGCTTCAGCAGACAACTAAGGCATCTGGTGGTCACTGGATGTTCTTAGGCTGTCTTTCCTCGGAGTAGAAGAGGCATGTCTTGGATAAAGTGAAGGCTGGTCTACCACCAGAGACACCCAGAGCTGAGGCTCCGTAAAGATGAAAGATCTGTTCATCTTCATGATCCAGAAAGTTCCTCTTTAATAAAATCAGGAGTATATATTGAACCTTGTTTGCCGCTAGGCAGTTACTGTTTCTGAAACCGCTACTGAATTCAGTCTTTTCTGAGTAGCAGTCATGGTTACTGCTTTGCCTTTAAGGATTTTTTCCTTTCGTCCTTTTTAAAAAACTTTTCTCTCAAAAGCAGATAATGATCTATAAGTAGTAAATATGGGGCATATATAAGATATAACCTACTTAAAAGAATTCCATGGTGAACCTCTTTTATTAAGAATTGTCCTGGAATTGATCTGTTTTAGACGTGGAGGTTTGTAGCACAAGATCAAGTTAAGTTAAACATTATTTGGTGTTATGATACCTGATGCCGAAGTTTGTAGAGCTTCCACTTGTAACTAAGAATTCAGATAGTTCTAGAAAATAGCCTTAAAAGGAGCAGGGCTCTCTTTGGCCACATCATACATGAGAGGACCATGGATTGAATTCTGAAGGCAAAAATCCAACCCCCAAGCTCCTAAATATCAGCTGTCTTGCTTTTACTGTTATGTGTTAATTAAAAAAAAAAAAAAACGCTCAAACTAAAAATGTAATGTTTTTTATTTTAAAGAAACATGACATTGTCAGAAACTTGTGTCTAATTTGATTTCCACATGTGTTACTGTGTTCAGTGTTGTGCAGGTGCGTGGGGGGACACAGTGAATGTCTCAGGCCGCCAAGCATGTGTCTTTCCCTCTCTTCCCTTGCAGGCAGCCACCACACTGCATTCCTGACACGTATAGCAACGCCACGCTCTGGTACAAAATCTTCACCACTGCCAGAGATGCCAACACCAAATACGCTCAAGATTACAATCCTTTCTGGTGTTACAAGGGGGCCATTGGAAAAGTCTATCATGCTTTAAATCCCAAGCTTACAGTTATTGTTCCTGATGTAAGTGAGCACAGCGTGCGTGTCCGTGTGTGTGTCCTGGAACTGTCAGCACAGGCCCTGTTACTCTCTCTCTCGGGTTAGCTTAGCCCCTGTCACTCTCCAGTTCCTGCTGGATTGGGAGACCAGGCGGAGTGGTGGAGACTTAGAAAAACATGCCATTCTTTTGATTAAGAAATACCTGCTGTTTCGTTCAGCAGCTGTTATTTACTGAGCAGCTGTTGGGTGCCTAACCCATGGGGATTTCTGGGGGTGCTGTGCAGTCTTACTGGTGCACAGTCATTCCTGGAAAATTCTTTGGCCAGTGTTAGCGTGAACAGAGAGTAGTGCTGTTTGGACTTCAGAAAGGTAGAAGTGACTAAGTGGTAGGAGGAGAAGACCCTTCTGTGTAGATATTGGGGCCTAAATAGGCTTTAGCTTGACAAGGAGGAAAGGTGAAGAAAATTCTGTAATCTGATCTAGTAGAGGATATGGTAGTTTAACTTTCTGCTAAGATTTGAGTCCACTTTTAACAGATTGCACTGATGTTTTGTAAATGCCTTTATTTTTCTTCCTGCTCGTATGTGTTAGGGAGATTTCTCTTCTTTTGGTCTGATCCTTTCCCTTTTTTGTGACTCAAGTTTATCAAGTTATGAAAGTTGGTAGGCCAGGGGCCTGCCAGAGGAAGCAGTGGAGATCAGGCTGGATGGTGGGCAGAGACCAGTTCTAGGGGGGGCCCCTTTGTACTCTTTGACGCATCCAGCTGTTCCTTTTGGGCAGGGAGGTTGCCGCCAGTGTTTGGGTTTAGGCGATTTGTACAGCAGTGCTTTAGGAAGGCTGTCCACCACCCACCACCCGATGTGTACATGGGAGGGAGCTCAAGGCTGATGTGAGAGCTGACGTGTGGGAAGGAGAAGGAATGGAAGCACAGCTGGCAGGGCCTGGTGATTGAGTCCCTTCTGTGTAGATATTGGGGCCTAAATAGGCTTTAGCTTGACAAGGAGGAAAGGTGAAGAAAATTCTGTAATCTGATCTAGTAGAGGATATGGTAGTTTAACTTTCTGCTAAGATTTGAGTCCACTTTTAACAGATTGCACTGATGTTTTGTAAATGCCTTTATTTTTCTTCCTGCTCGTATGTGTTAGGGAGATTTCTCTTCTTTTGGTCTGATCCTTTCCCTTTTTGTGACTCAAGTTTATCAAGTTATGAAAGTTGGTAGGCCAGGGGCCTGCCAGAGGAAGCAGTGGAGATCAGGCTGGATGGTGGGCAGAGACCAGTTCTAGGGGGGGCCCCTTTGTACTCTTTGACGCATCCAGCTGTTCCTTTTGGGCAGGGAGGTTGCCGCCAGTGTTTGGGTTTAGGCGATTTGTACAGCAGTGCTTTAGGAAGGCTGTCCACCACCCACCACCCGATGTGTACATGGGAGGGAGCTCAAGGCTGATGTGAGAGCTGACGTGTGGGAAGGAGAAGGAATGGAAGCACAGCTGGCAGGGCCTGGTGATTGAGTGCATGTGTGGGAGGTTAAAGAGGAATGAAGTGAGGGTGAGCACGACATTTTTAGCCAGGGATTTATGCAAGTGAGGAAAAGGCAGAAGAAAGGAGCAACACTGGGGGAGAGGTTGGGGAGCAGGCTGGGTGTTAGCCAGGCAGCCTGAGGGGATTGGAGGTAGAGGATGTATCCAGAGCGGAGGAGGCTTAAGGACAGACTCTCCAGGATCTGTGAGAGGGAAGAGGAAGCCAGGCAGGGTAGGGGTGCAGTAGCTCGGGCAGAGGACATTGTTAGGAAGGAGTGGATGGGCTCTAGCAGAGATTGCTCCAGAATACCATGTCTTTGACATCCAGCTTCGCTAGTGTAGGAGAAAAAAGGAGAAACTTCCTGTTCTAGCTTTAGAAAGTTGAGGCAGGCAGGTCTAGAGGTTGAGAATCCATATCCGGGAATCCAGCATTAAAATCTTTCAGTAGTTCACTGCAGACATTTCTGTTTTTTTTTTTTTTCCTTTTCTTTGTTTAGGATGACCGTTCATTAATAAATTTGCATCTCATGCACACCAGTTACTTCCTCTTTGTGATGGTGATAACGATGTTTTGCTATGCTGTTATCAAAGGCAGACCCAGCAAATTGCGTCAGAGCAATCCGGAATTTTGTCCTGAAAAGGTGAGCAGCAAATGGGATCTGGACCAGCATTTTGCTGGAGATTTCTGCGTACAGAATGTCCATTTAGTCCTTAATCCTTTTATTATGGGTGGTACTTTTCCTTCAAAGAAATTAGTTCCTGTCATTTCTATTTTTTTTAAGAATTATTTTATTTAACTTTATTATTTAAAAAAATTTATTTTAATTTGACCAGAGAGGGACAGAAAGAGAGAGAGAAAGCTGCCAGGTCTAGGACTCAAACTGCAGTCAGCCGTGTGGGAGTCCAGTACTATTAACCACCACGCCGTGTGCCAGCCCCAGTTCCGGTCATTTCATCAGAAATAGTCTTGGGAACCAGCAGTTAGCATAATGGCTATGTCGCTGGACTCCCACGTAATTAACCGCGGTTCGCTTACTGGACCCGGTGGCTTAGAACTCACGCCGGCCGCGTGTGCGGGTGTGCCCAAGATCCCGGGAGGAGAATGGAGGAGAAGGGATTGCGGCGTGACCATCCCCCCTGGGGAGGAGATTTCTCGCTTTCTGTCTCTCTGTCTGTCTCTGTCTGGCGAGCGCACGCGCCCTATAGCGAAAACCTCTCCAAAAAAAAAAAAAGAAATAGTCTTTACCCTAAATTATGGTGTTGAATTTTCAGTCACATACCTAGGCCGTTTTAGCTGTTAAAGTGACTGACTGTTGGCGGTTGTCTTCAAATCCCCTTGGGGAGGCCCTGACCCTGAATCGGCTGCCTGTCCTGTTCTTGTATCAGTGTAGGGCCTCGCCTCACAGAACACCTTAGCCGGGTGCAACAACAGTGACTCCGTCTCTTCAGAATAGTGGCTCCACAGATTGGCTCCTCCTTGCAGGAGACTTTTAGATTTCCATGCCTTCCTTCCTAGATGAGATTTTGCTGCTGCTCTTATAGATTTAATAACTTGCCCAGGAGACGCCTGTATGGTCAGTATGGCTCCCTGGTCTTTGGGTAGGTTGTTGGAGCCAACAGGCTGCCGGGGGCTGAGTTTCCTAGGCTTCTCTGTTTGACTGGATTGCTTGTCTTGCTTTCTTCCAGGTGGCTTTGGCTGAAGCCTAATCCCATAACTCCCTGTTTTCTGAGAGGAACTGAGAGAACCATAATCATTGCCGGCTGAACCCAGCCTAGGCCTGGACACTCTGTGAATACATTATCTTGCAATGTTGGGTTATTCCAGCCAAAGACATTTCAAGTGCCTGTAACTGATTTGTACATATTTATAAAAACCTATTCGGAAATTGGTCCAATGATGCACGTGCTTTGCACTGGGTGCAGCCAGAGCCCTTCAGCCTCACCGGTGGACTGGTGGACTTGGCGGGATATTTCCGCCTAGTGCTAGAGGGAATTTGTGGATCTTGCTGCTTCCAAGCAGGTGATGTTTTAACCAAGGTCGCAGGCCACGTTTTGTTGCTGGTGGGGTTGAGGGCTGCTTTGGTTCTTGTTTCAGCCCAATATGTACAGAATGTTTGAAACAGTCTGCACCTTTGATATGAAACTGCATTTCCAAAGCCACCAATCCATTTTGTGGATTTTATGTGTCTGTGGCTTAATGATCGTAACAACAATAATACCTTTTTTTCCCCACCATTTTGCTTGCAAGGAAACATACCTATCTAAGTTTGTTTTTGTTTTCGTTTTTTAAGAAAAAATAAAATAGTCACATTTTAATACTACTCTAGTTAGAGCAGACTTGTGCTTTTATCCTGAGTAAAAAGTTAAATATTTAAAAGTCACCTACATGATAAAGATCTAAGTCTCATTTTCCACACAAGTGGTGGGGAGCCTGTCTTCTCTGAGTCAGCAGAGAATGTCTGCTGTCCTTTTGTCCTCTGTCGTCCCCTCCCTCTAGTATAGAAGTTAAAGCAGCTTCCTCCCTCAAGAGGCCCTGGAGGTTAAGAAATGGCTGTAGCGTAGATAATAACTGTCCTGCTTTCAGGAGTGTAGATGACAGTGTGGAAAGAAACTGTTGATTTGCTCTAATAGTCATGAAAGGTTTCTTTTTTTTTCTGCTTTTACTTTTATGCAACTGAGATATCTTCAGAAGAAGGGCAATGGGTAGATCAGTAACATTATGAAAACAATGCCTGTGAAATTTGAAGGATTCTAATTCTGACTTAGCATTTATCAGGGGAAACCAAAAAAATCTAAATCTGTCTAAAAACATTTAAATCATTTAATTCCACTGTCCCTTTTCTTTCTAATCCTTCTTCATGTAAAAAAAAAAAATTGTACATAATCTTTTCCAGTCCTTTCTTGTTTCCTTGTATTTTTGTTGTTGTTGCTGCTTGTCTTATTTTTTTTAACTCTGCCTTAATCGCCCATCGTCACTAATGACTTCTGGTGCAAGTGAAACCTGGGACGTGACCGTCAGTACTTCCTTCCCCTAACTCTAGGTCTGTTCTAAATTAGAATGAGTTCCTGCAGTCTGAAATATGTTGGCCTAGAACACTTGACCCCAGGCATTCTCGAATGGAAAACAATTATGGCCTGTTACTGAAGATTGCTAAAATAATCACTGTAGTAACTTGATATGTTGCTGTTATTCCTGTCAGTACCTTTCGAGGAGTGGTTGTGCTTGTCTCTCCATTGTTTTGGTATGATAGGAGTTGCTTACATGATGCCTGATGTTAATTTAGTTTTCTCTGTAGAGACTTTGAGAACCTCATGAGATAAGATTGAGAAAGAGCCATTTGACTTGGCCTTTAGAAATGTCACTCTCATTTGGATCATCAGATTTTAGATTAAGCTGCTACTTAATTAATAATATGCCAATGAAGTAGAGCTATAGGGATAGATTTATACCTGGTAGAGTAATATAAAAGGAAAAGACAAGTGGAAAAAGTCGGTTTCACTGGTGTGTCCAAGCTTTCCCTTGTTTTAATGACAGGGAATGGCTGGAGTCCGTAGCCAGGAGAGGAAGGACACTGCCAGGCAGAAGAGGAGAAGTGCCAAAAATGCCTGGACAATAGGGCTGCCCTGAGGCCTGGACACACACTTTAAGAATCCCACACTCACCCCCGCAGGCAATCTCCAAGATCTTATAGAAACACAGAGTCAGCCAGGGGTATAAAGAGAGGCTGGGGAAGAGAGGAGGCTGTGGGACCTGAGTGAAGAGGTCTAGGGCCTCAAGAGACCTCCATGGACTCTCAGGAAGTCCAGGGGACCTGCTGTGACCTGGTGGCCAAGGCCCAGACCTCAGCCCTGTCTTGCTGGTGGGCCTTAGGATGGGAAGAGTGTTACAGGCGGGGGCGTTTCTGTTCGGGTGACCCCCGCAGGAGCACTGACTCGTCCTCAGGCACCTTGGACTGGAGGTCCAATAAAAGGTCAGCAACTTCTTATTCAAAGGTTGTTTCAGATCATATTGATCTCTTTCCTTTTTCCTTTTGTCCTTTCACTGTATGACTTGAATCAGTTTTGATTCTATTTGTAAGTTTTTCTTGTCGTTAGGAACCTGCCATTTGTGTTGCACTTTCTTTGGCAGTACGTAAAGATTCAGCATCCTGGTTTTTCAACCCTCCTGCAGGCACTGTGGGGTTACGAGGGCCAGCGGGTCCATTTCACTTCTCTTGCTGCATGATGGTCAGTAGCTGATCTGTTATGGCATTCACTCCCAGATTAATTTTCCGTGTTTGAAATATGTGCATATGTGCTTTACAGAATAAAACATCTGAATTTATTGGTCGTGGCTCCTTTTCCTCCAGCCTGATGAGTGTCTCCCGAGGGAAGAAAGTATGCGATAAGCAGTCAAGGGTTTTTTTTGTTACCTGCTCTTTGAAGTCTCAGGATGAGACGTGGCAACATTTCCCACTACGTGGCCTGGCCAAGCACTTGGGTCTTCTCCCTCTACAAAACCTCTTGTAGTTTACTAGACCAGCAAGTGCTTGCAGCTCGGACCCAGATCATGCCCTGAAGAAGTAAAAAATACAGAGCAGTGGAGAACATTGGCTAGATAGAGGAGTTAGCAGACAGCCTTTTCGGTTAGATAAACCTTCTCTGGCATAAGCCGGAGTTACCAGCAGTGACTCCTGGCCCGCCCTGCCCTTTCCTGTTACAGAACTCCTGTACATGGACTTCCTTGGCCAGGAGTGTTACACCCTCTACAGTTTCTATAGCAAAGGGAGATCGTATTCACTAACACTATTTCTTCCCTTTTCCAGTGGGCAAAGGCTCCATGTCCCTCCTCAGACTTCCCAGCAGGTGCCAGGTCACAAAGTTGCCTGAAGGCACTCTGTGGGACAGGAACAGTGCTGAGGAAGGTAATACCTCAATGGACTCTTTGTTTCTGGCTTTCTCAAGCCGTCCTTCCTCCTGCGCATTGACAGGTGGAACACTGCATGGAATGCTCTGTGCCCTTCACTCTCCTTGTGCCCAGGTACTTCCGTGTGTGATGGTTCATCTCTGTCATGGTACAGGAGGGGCCTTGGAGGAGAAGAGCTTGTATCTCCTTTCTGTATTACATAGCCTGTGTAAAATCTGACTTGTACTAAGTTCTCAAGTTAGACATTTTACTTTAAATAATTTTGGGCCAGCTGGTAGCATGATGGTGAAGGCAGCTGGATTTCACATGGCCAACTGGATGGTTCGAGTCCCAGACTTGGAAGCTTGAAAAACATTGGGATGGGACCAGCAGATGGCATAATGGTTATGGTTATGTAACTGGACTCCCACATAGTCAACTGTGGTTTGAATCCCAAACCTGGCATCTTAAACTCAATACCAGGTGTGTGTGCATGCATGGCCAAAACCCCTGAGAAGAATGGAAGAGAAGGGATTGTGGTTTTGCAACCCCCCCAGGGCAGGGTGATTTCTCGCTTTCTATCTCTGGCAGACACACAAATCTGTAGCAAAAATCTCATTAAAGAAAAAATAAATAAATAAAAACCCCTTGGGCACATGTGTGCATGTTCAAAATCCCAAGCGGAGAATGGAGGAGAAGGGATTGTGACTGGCCATTCCTCCTGGGGGAGTGCTCTCTCACTTTCTTCTGGTGAGTACACATGACCCATAGCAGATTTTTTTTTTTTTTTTGGAGAGGTTTTTGCTATAGGGAGTGTGCGCTCACCAGAAAGACAGAGACAAGAGAGATAGAAAGCAAGAAATCACTCACCCCCCAGGGGGGATGGCCACACCTCAATCCCTTCTCCTCCATTCTCCTCTCGGGATCTTGGACATGCACGCACATGTACCTGGCGTGAGTTTAAGCCACCGAGTCCGGGACTCAAACCGCAGTTGGCTACATTGGGAGTTCAGCGACATAGCCATTACGCTAACTGCTGCAAATTTTAAAATAAAAAAATTAAAACCACTTAATTTTCTATGCTTTAAGCTTCTCACTGTGGTTTAAATGTATTTTTCCAAAATCTGTATTGAAATTTGATTGCTATTGAAGAGGGATTAGGAGGATGGAAAGTTAAATCTGACTGTGATGTTAAGAGGTGGGGTATTTGACAGGTAATTAGAATTAGATAAGGTCCTCAGGGTGTTGCCCCTGCAATTGAGTGTGGTGGCTTTATAAGAAGGAGAGACTGGGAACCAGCAGTTAGCATAATGGCTATGTCGCTGGACTTCCACATAGTCGACCGTGGTTCGCGTCCCAGACCCGGTGGCTTAAAACTCATGCCGGGCGCGTGTGCGTGCGTGTGTGTGTGCCCAAGATCCCGAGAGGAGAATGGAGGAGAAGGGATTGCGGCGTGACCATCCCCCCTGTGGGGTGATTTCTTGCTTTCTGTCTCTCTGTCTCTGTCTGGCGAGTGCACGCGCCCTATAGCGAAAACCTCTCAAAAAAAAAAAAAAAAAAAAAGAGGGAGAGACCGAGCTGACTCACTCTTGCACTCTTGCCATGTTACGCCCTGTGCTGCCTTAGGACTGCAAAGACCTCACCAACAAGCGGACCCTCACCTGGTACAGCCCTTTGATCTTGGACCTCCAAAACTGTGAGCTGAATAAACTTTTACTCTGTAAATTACCTAGTCTGTGATACTCGGTTATTAGCTACAGAAAAACATACGAAAACAATTCATCGGAGTCACACAGCATCAAGGATTCCAAAAGAGTGGAACAAATGCTCAGGACAGAGGGGCACTGTGGAATCTAATTGAGGTCATTGTGAACCCAGTTACTGTCTCAAATTTTTCCCTGCCCATTTGTGAAGGCCATTTTCTTTTTAACCTCTGAAGGCCCCAAATTCCTTATCTCATGCTAGTTGTTGGTTATGGGAAACTAGGGTAGTTTGAAAATGGCAAGAGTGGATTGTAGTAAGTGTGTTGTGTCCGAGGGGAAAGGAGGGGCTGGATTTCATTTTTAGTACTCGGCCCTCTTTCTTCCAAACTCTTGCTTATTAAATAACAAAATATTTCTTGGGTTCCTCTTCAATGCCAGTTCTAGAAGCTGGGGAAACAGCACTTCACAGACAAAATGCTAACCTCATGGCATATACCGTCTAATCAGAAGACGGTGTGTAGACACACAAATGTATTATAATCTAAAGGTGAGAGGCCGATGAGGTGAAGGTTACCAGGGTAGAGAATGATGGCTGTGACACCTCAGCTGGGGTAGTTGCAGAAGGCATCTTGGAAGAGGTGTAATTTGAAAATACAAATGGGGGAATTCCGGACTGAAGCATTCCATATGGAGGGCAGGGGCTGTGATCCTGCTGCACAGAAGCCGTGCTCAGAGGTCCTGGCTCATGGCTGGATGGAGAATGGGAGTCTTTCAGGGATCGGTCTCCTTAGCCGAGGACAAGATTCCTCCAGGCTCCTGCCGGAGTAGTCCTAAAGGAGTGGTATGCAAAAGGCTCTGCAGGGTGATGCTCTCCTACTGACTAGTTCAGGAAGGGAGGTCTCTGAACTGAAGCATGGCATGGTGGGTCTGAACTCATGCTCCAGTTCTTTCGGGATATGCAACCTTGGCCAAATGGCCTGTCCTCTCTGTGCCTCATTTTGCTCATCTGTCGAACAAGGATAGCAGTACCCATTTACGGGGATTTGGCAAGTTAAGAGAAGGTGCTTAGGGCAATGTCTGGCACGTGTTAAGTGTTTATTATAAGGAGGAGGTCAGGGGAGATACCCAAGAGTGCAGCTGGGGGCTCTCCTCTGGTTCCACTTGGGTAGATGAGAACTAATAAAGCAAGGAGACTCCCCCCCCATTAATCTCCCATTAACAATGATGCCAGTGCTGGGGCTTTATCATTTGTGGGGTGTATGAGAACCAGTCTCTAAAACATACTTTGTTGAATGATAATTGCTCTCCCTACATATGATGCACACTGATATTTTAAAATATTAGTCTCGTTTAATTTTCAGAACTGGGTGTGACATTAAATTGATTGCATGACCCACAAATGGAAGGGAACCTGTTGCCTTGAAAAGACTGATCTTATTAATGTATAAGACCCTGGAACCGGCAGATAGCATAATCGTTATGTAGCTGGACTCCCACGTAGTTGACTGTGGTTCGAGTCCTGGAGCCCAGCAGCTTAAAACTCAATGCTGGGCACGTGTGCGTGTGTGCCCAAAACCCTGAAAGAATGAGGAGAAGGGATTGCAGCATGGTCATCCCCTTGGGGGGTGATTTCTTGCTTTCTGTCTTTCTCTCTCTCTCTCTGTCTCTGTCTCTCCAGTGAGCTCACATGTCCCATACTGGAAAATCTCTCTTAAAAAAAAAAAAATGTATGAGATCCCTTATAGCTAAGAAATGTCTTGAGTCTTTAATGCCAGTATTTTTCATTTATCAAGAATTATTGGGTTGTCAGAAAAGTCATGATGCATTTTTTGCATGGAAAGACAGAAAATATGTCATGACTTTTCCAACAATTCAATACGTTTGTCATTTTTAAGTAAGTTTCAAAGTCCTTCAGAACTTTGGAATATGACGTCCAGAAATCATATTAAGCAGACCATCTTAAAAACAATGCTATTAATCTAAAGAAAGAGTCACAAGGGAGAGCAAAGGGAAGATACCCTTGCTTAGAGTATCTATGTCTTGGGGTCATCAAGTGACATGGTGGTTGGGTTGCTGGACTCCCACATGACTGTGGTTTGAGTCCCAGATCTGGTGGTTTGCTTTCTCACTTTCTCTCAAGTTAAATAATAATAATAATAAAATAAAATAAACAATATCTGTGCCTTTAAATGCTTTTTCCATCCAACAGTTCATCACTCCCAGCCCCTTTGTCTCTGGCCTGGCTCTCAGATCACATCCTGGATCTAGAAAATTCTTCTCAAGCCCTTGGCTCTTTATCCTTCTATCCTAGTCAACAGAGTCTTGGAGTCTGCATTGGAACGTGTCCATGACCAGGGGGTTGGCTCACATACCTCCTCTCTGTACTTGATCGTCTACCTCCTGTGCTCAGAGCACACCTGTTCTCACAGGGGGTCCTGCCACTTCTCGCTGCGCACATGCAGGGGTCACTGTGTTGTTCACATGCTTAGAATGGGATCCTTCCCTTTCTCTCTGATCCAGGCCCTGGCCCGGCCGCTGCCCTGCTACAGCATTGCTCCAAGGGCACTAGTGCTGGGGAGGTTGCAGTCCACCCTCGGGCAGCAGCGACCCCTTGGCCTTCCCTGGCACTTTGGATTCAACCTAATCAGTTCCAACCTTCTCTTTTTAAAACTTATTATCCTAAAAAAGGTATCATCTACCAAGTGATGACGAGTTGAATTTAATGCTTCTACCTGCGAGAGGGTCACAGAGACAACTCTACATGCAGAAAGACAGGTAAGGGGTTGGATGGGCCATTCAGATGTCTGTGACTGTTGGAGATGGGATTTTTGTTGGCTGTTTTCCTAATCTCCCTTATGTAAGTTGGAGTCTCTGGAAAATACAGTATGTTAAAACTGCAAAAAATGCCTTTTGCAAAATAGAGATAGATTCCAGGCTCAGATGATGTAAACGTTTTTCATCTTTACGTAAGTATTGGATAAGACACTGGCAGCTATGTGGAACACGTGACATATCTTGCACCATTGAAGTCTGCACCCCAGGAGCAGGCCACTGTTACTGTATTGTAAAGACCAGAACTCCCTCAGATTTCCAAAGTGTCTCCTAAGGGAGGCATCTGCCAAAGATGGAAAGATTCCTGATAGCCACAACTTCTTTTTTTTTTTTTTTTAAAGAATTATTTTATTTAACTTTATTTATTATTATTATCATTATTATTTTCCAGTTTGATCAGAGAGAGACAGAGAGAGAGAGGAAGTGAGAAAGTAAGCCACCAGGTCCTAGACTTGAACCATGGTCGGCCATGTGGGAGTCCAGCGCCTTTAACCACCACGCCACTTGCCAGCCCCGATAGCCACAACTTCTGACGTGCAACTGACCCTGGGCCCTTAGAGCAGCTGCTGTCTTCTGGTCCCTGCAGACCAGGTCCAACAGCCTGTGCTCTGTACTTCTTTCCCCCTAGTTTTCCTGATTGGCCAACACCTCAGGATGATGCTGGGAGCTGAGGAGAACCTACCCTGCCCTAGACCTCCAGGAGGGAAGCAGAGTGGGTCCTGGAGGATGATGCATCATCCAGCATGAAAGAGAGCCCAGGTTTGGCCCAGGCAGGCATTCAGGCATTGAGACTGTGAGACTGGTGTGTGTGTGTGTGTGTGTGTGTGTGTGTATTTATTTTAATTTAACCAGAGAGGGACAGTGAGAGAGAGTGAGAAAGCAAGCTGCTGGATTTGGGACTTGAACCATGGTCAGCCATGTGGGAGTCTAGCTCCCTTAACCACCATGCCACCTGCCGCCTCAATAAGTGGTATACTTCTTACCCCGCCCCTTTTACTGCATGTACCACTCCCTCAAACAGAAGTGGTGAGTTACCTTTCAGTCCTGCCTGCCTCTCCTGCCTCCCACACTATGGCTTTAGGGAGAAGAGCATGAAGTAAGCAGGGTGCTCAGTGCCACAAGGCAGGATGGGCCAGGAGGTGGGTGACTGCACACTGAATCCTAAGCTGTGTGTTAGAAATCATAATCTCTATATGAGGAAAGTGGGCTCTACTGAGATGAAGCAAATATAAACACAGGCTGGGACCAGCAGATGGCGTAATGGTTACATCACTGGACTCCCACATAGTTGACTGCAGTTCGAGTCCCAAATCTGGTGGCTTAAAACTCACGGTGGCGCATGTGCTTATGTGCCCAAAATCCAGAGAGGAAACTGGAGAAGGGATTGAAGTGTGGCCATCCCTCCTGGGAGGTGATTTCTCACTTTCTGTCTCTGTCTCTCCGGTGAGTGCACATGCCCTATAGCAAAAAATCTCTCAAAAAAAAAAAAAAAAAAGGCAACATAGGCCAAGGAAAGGCTGACTCAGGCAGATGTCAGTTAAATCTCTTGAGAAAGTGTGTTTTTCACTAACTTGATTTTGTACCATTTGCTGTTCCTGAAGGAGAGGTCCCATTTTTTTAAAGTCTATTTTATTTTATTTATTTTATTTTATTTTATGCTTCCATGAGCAAGAAGAAAGGCACAGTGCGTGAGTGAGTGCACCCACACTGGGTCTCGATAACTGAGCCACCCCGGTGTCAGCCAGCTCTGGGTCATGGGTGTGTTGTGTCTGGCATACCCAAGGAGCTCTCTGGATGTAAATCTGGAACTTTCCTGTGGGTCAGCTTTGCAGAATATCACGTTTTTTACTGGCACAGCACTGACCAGCCCTGGGGAGGTGCCAATTTTAAAAGCTGAAATGTCTTCTGAAATGTAAAATATCTTTTTTCTCAGAAACCTAATCTAACACAACAATTTGCCTGGAAGGTGCTTTCTGTGTTCTAATTTCCTGGCAAGCATTTTTGGCCAAAAGTAACATAGTATGACCACATGGAAACAGAATATAAGCCTTTTGTTTAAAGAAGGAAAATGAGAGATCAGAAATACAGGTTTCTCTTTAAGAAAGGAATCATCTTTAAATTAAAAGGAAACTAGGCATCATATCATGCTGACCTAAAAGTGTTTTTTAATTCAATTTCTATGTTGTAAAATAGCTTAGTTTGCACTGATAAGAAAATGAATTTACATGCTTCTAAATTCTACAAAGAGCTTGGACTAGTGATGATTCGATCTTAAGAGAAGACCAAATTTAATTATGTTCTGTTGTTTTCTCTGATGTGTTTCCTTCCATCTAATGTAGAGAGACAGAGACTCTTGTTATCAAATTATTTCAGTACAGAGCTTAATAGAATTTTAAGCCTTTGAAGTCCTATGTCAAAATTTGAAAAATATTTGTGGAAAGATAATGATATTTAGCTAAGGTAGGGGATAGTAGTCCCTTATTAATTGATGTTAAATAAAGGTTCTGAATTTTAAGCTATTTTTACTTGTCTTTCTGAATTTTTCAACTACAAAAATCTGTGAAAACCCAGAGTATTTTTGGTTCCAAGGTGACTAACAATCTCCCTTTTCGAATATTTACAAGCTTAGATGGCATTGTCCGTTTCAAAGGCAACATAGTAGATGTTCATAAGCTGGGAGGAAATAGGAGAGGGATGCATGGTTCAAGTGGACACTGACCGAGTCACCCATTGACGTCTCACGTGCTCAGGTCCTGCCCTCACGGGAACCACAGTCTGCAGAGGAGACAGATGTGCAGACACGCACAGTGCGATGACTCGATCAGAGGCCTGGCCTCCTGGCGTTAGACTGGCATGCCCACATCCTTAGTTGCAGCTGATCCTCACATCTGCCCTCTGTGGGGGGACTTGCTATTAGCTAGGAGGCTGAGGCTAAGCTCACCTCTGGCCGCAGTCCGTCCACATCTGTCTAAACAGGAAGGGAGTCTTGCCAGCCCTGTAATTCCAAAACAGCACAGAACTTGGCCCTGGCTGGAATTGAGGACGAGAGGCCCATCTGCCGGCGCTTTTGCTTCATGAAGGAAGGCAAAACCACATGCTTTGTGGGGATGGAGGCTTGCTGATTTCCACACAGTGGGTGTGGAGCCTGTGGCAGGAATGGGGCGGGCTCCCCAGTGCCCTGCCTCTCATTGCTTTGGCAGCTGGAGTGTCAGAGCTTTGTCCATGAGAAGCAGCTCTGGGAAGAGGCAAAGAGAGCCTGAGCCCATTTGTAGAGACACGTATTCCAAGTGGCCCTGGCGAGAGGCAGCTCCTTCCTCTCAGTACGGAGTAAGCCTTTAGAGCCGCCTCTGCGAATCCACTGATGGCCAACAGGGAATCCCTAGTTCCTGTGCAGTACTGAGTACAGTCGGGTGCTGCATACCTACGTTTCCGTCAGCGATGGCCCCATGTACAGTGGTGTCCCACAGATGATAACAGGCTATACTGCGTAGCCTGGGGGTGTGCAGTGATGTTTGCACAGCAGCAAAATCGCCTAACTACCCATTACTCAGAACACACCCCTTCATTACGTGATGCGTGACTGCACTTTTAAGACCCTGTCTCCGTTCTCGGGTACTGGGAGTAGTTTCAACAAAAACATTTTGAAAGGTTAACAGTTGGGACCAGCAGATGGTGTAATGGTTATGTCACTGGACTCCCATGTAGTCCACCAGGGTTTGAGTCCCAAGGCTGGCAGCTTACAACTCATACCGGGTGCATGTGTGTGCATACCCAAGATCCCGAGAGGAGAATGGAGGGGAAGGGACTGCGGCGTGGCCATCCCCCCTGGGGGGTGACTTCTTGCTTTCTGTCTCTCTGTGTGTCTAGTGAGCACATGTGCCTTGTAGCAAAAATCTCTCTTAGAAGTATATACACAGAACTGAAAACAGGTGGTTAAACGACAGATGTGTACATGAATATTCATAGCAGCATTATTCGCAATAGCTAAAAGGTGGGAACAGCTCCAGTGAACTCCCATCCACCTGAAAGGGTAAACAGAATGTGACGGGTGGAATATTACCCAGCCATAAAGAGGAATGAAGTACTGATAAAAGCTACAACTGTAGGAGCTTTCATGCTAAATGAAAGAAGCTGCCATCTGTTTTTGATTCTTTCCTTGTTCTTGATTCTTGCTTCCCATTTTATTCAGCCATTATTCTCTGATACACTAGAGAGGTTTGGATAGCACTAAGCCTTTCTTCTCTCTCTTTTTAAATCTTTGCCAGAGGGCACATGTACTCACCAGAGAGAGAGAGAGAGAGGGAGAGAGAGAGAGAGAGAGAGAGAGAGAGAGAGACAGGAAAAGTGAGAAAACACCACCACGTGGAACAGCCATGCCACTGCCCTTCTCCTCCATCTCTCCATTTGGGATTTTGGGGCATACTACAACTGGTGTGCATATCAAGCTCCTGAGTCCGGGACTTGAACCGCACAGTTGGCCATGTGGGATCCAGCTGCCCTAACCGCCATGCCACTGGTGGACCCACCTGTTTCAAAATTGCCAGAGGGCATGCAAAGTGGGCAGACGCAGAGGGAGAGGGAGAAAGCACTCTCCAGTGGGATGTGGTCATGCTTCAATCCCTTGTCTTCCATTTCTCCATCCTCTAAGGATTTGGGGCATGCACACATACACACCTGGTGTGTTTTGTGAGCTGCCAGGGCTGGGATTCAAATCACCCTGCCTGCCATGTGGGATCTGACTCCCTTCACCAGGAGGCCACAGGGCCAGTTCCTTCCTTCTTTTAATATTTAAAGAAACTAGACAGAAAATAAGCCTACATTTTATTGTCTTTAGTGCAGTCTCTGGTCAAGCAGTGGCTTTCTAACTTGAGCGTGCATCAGAATTCTCAGAGGGGCCTCGTTAAACAGATTTACAGGAGCCTGGGCCCTGGAATTTGAGGCCTGAAGGCACAAAAGGCTAGCTAGTTTCCAGTTGCTGCTGCCGCTGGTGGGGGGACCACACACGCAGAACCGCTGCAGTGGAGAAAGGCGTTAGCCCCTCTGGAGAATTACCCAAGTACTGTGCACCGCTGTCCAGATGCTCTGGACACGCAGTGGGTCCATGGTCCAGCTACACTCCCAAGAGGCGGTGGAGCGGCTGGCACAGCGGGCTTGGATATCAGAGTAGGCTGAGCTGCTGGCACAGTGTGGCTAAGGCAGAGCAGGAACACCTGGAACTCCTGGAACTCAAGGCTGTGCAAACCAAGGATTGAAGGGGCTGGTGCTGGTGAACCACCTGCGTGTGTGAAAGATTTGTTTACTGGTGAGAGGCAAGGCCTGTGAGTTCCTCTGTCATCTGTGGCTGGAAAAGCAGGAGCGTAGAAGCTAAAATGCTGTTAGGTGAGAATATTTTGCAGCCGATTGCATTTGGGAGCTGTGGTGATATCTGTAAAGAGTGGTTCTTGCTACCCTTGGCTTTAGAAAATTATCCAGGTATGGGGCTGGCAGGCGGTGTGTTGGTTAAGGCGCTGGACATTCCCACACGACCAACCATGGTTTGAGTCCTGGACCTGATGGCTGGCTTTCTCACTTTCCTTCTCTCTCCATTTTTTCATCCTGTTGGATTTTGAATGCACACACACACACACGTGCTTGATGTGTTTTTCAAACTGCAAGGGCTTCTTATGTAGCTAAATCTCTCAGTATTTACTTTTATAGATTCTAGGTTTCTGTTTTCCTTAAAAAAGGCTTTTACATTTGATTACCCATTTCCCACTAACACATTCAGTTTTATATTTACACTTAGTTCTATAATCCACCTAAAATTAATTTTTCTGTTGTAACATAGGGGTCTACCTTTGTTAGACATAAAGCCAATCGATCAACTGCTCTTTTTTCATCCTATTGAAATATCTGTAAATCTATAGTTTCTACTTTTGCCATGATAAATTATTACAAACAGGGATGACAGGGTTATAGTCCCTTCTGGAAATTGCAAGAGAGACTGTTTCCTTAATTGATCAAGTGGTTGGCAGAATTTAGCTCCTTTCAGGCTCCTATTGCTTTATTTGCTGTCAGCTGAGGGCCCTGCTCTTCTAGCGGTTCCCAGCATTCTTTGGCTCATGGCTCCCCGCCCTCCCTCCACCCCCAGCCACAGGTGGGTAAAGTCTCTCACATTTAAAAACTCACCTGCCTCTTTTAGTTGCATCTCTCTGAACCAGTTTTGCCTTTCCCTTCCATTTCTTTCTTTCTTTCTTTTTTTTTAAGAATTGTTTAATTTTATTTATCATCATCATCATTATTTTTAAAAATTTGCTACAAGGCACACATGATCACCAAAGAGAGACAGAGACAGAGAGAAAGTGAGAAAGCAAGCCACCAGGTCCAGGGCTTGAACTGCAGTCGGCCACGTGGGAGTGTCCAGAGTCTTAACCACCACGCCACCTGCTGGCTCCCTTCCCTTTCTTCTTTTTTTAATAGAAATTTTTGCTATGAGGTGCTCACCAGAGAGACGGAGAGACAGCAGAAAGCGAGAAATCACACCCCAGGGGGGATGGCCATGTGGCAATCCCTTCTTTGTTCTCTTCTTGGGATTTTGGGCACGCATGCACATGCGTCTGGTGTGAGTTTTAGCTGCGGGATCTGGGACTTGAACTATGGTTGACTACATGGGAGTCCAGTAATGTAACCATTTTGCCATCTGCTGGTTCCCCCTTCTTTTTTTTTTTTTTCCTCCAGGGAAGGTGTTTTTATTCTTTGAGGAACAAGCTAGGTTCTCTATGGTGTCCCAGATGTAGGGCCTACCTAGATGCTTCTTCAGAATTCTCAGCCAGAACTGGAATCTTTTCTTTTTCTGGTTTATCCGAAGACCTTGGGCAAACCAATATCTCTTTTCTCTTCCGTATCTAGCTGAGATTTTTCACTTGTTTAGCTTTCGATGAAGCTAACCGCTGGCATTTCTCCTGATGCTGAGTTAGGGTTGGCAGGGGAAGCAGGATTCCACACTGGGAACATCGTCTCAGAATGTTATAAGCTGCCTCGTCTTCTGTAGGAGAGCGGGCCCAGGGATTGAACTCAGACTTTGAAGGCAGATTCTTGGCTTTGTTTTTGCCTCTTGGTGCTTGCTTTGTTGAACTTTCATAAAGAAGAGGAAATCTGTTCATATTTTTTGTCTTTGGGCGGACATCCTTCTCTGCTGTGGAAGTCTGATTTTTAGCAGCCTGACTTGGGAAGGATGGTGAAGGTGTTTTTGGCTTTCCAGGTGGAAAATCATTCACAAACTCTGAGGTTGGACATTTATTCATACGGTAGAAATACTTATTTCCTGGAATCATTTGGTTGCAATAAGAACAGTAGATTTCCTTTTCAGAGTCCAAACTTTTCTTCCCTTCCCCCAGCTGGGCTTGTTCACCCTGGCAGACATCTTTGTGCTGGGCCAGTGCATGGAGCTTGACAGGCTGACTGCAGTCTGAGCAGAACCCCATGTGGTCCCCACAGTGCTGTTCATGGAGCTCCAGCTTGCTGAGGCTCAGAGCCACCTCGCAGAACTTGCACTCCGCCGGGCGCTCTTGGTGTTCCTCGGCCTGCCGGGGGTGGTTCATGCAATGCTCCTTCACCTCTCGGAAGTGCAGGCAGTGGGCCTCACGGAGGGTGAAGTGGGAAGAAGGCATGCTTCTTTTGCAGTTCCCGCACACCTGGAAGGTTCCCTCCATGTCCTGCCTCTAGAGTCTTTCTCATGAGTTTCTTCCCCCTTCCATTTTTAAGGGCTCATTAATTGGGAACACCCGGGTAATCTAGGCTATTCTCCCTGTTTCAAAGTAATCTAATTTCTATCTATAAAATTGTTTGTTATGTAAGGAAAGATATACGTTTCAGAGATCAAAGCATGGATATTTTTTGGTTGGCTGGTTGGGAGGGCATTATTTTTGTCTACCAGAGCTGCATTTATCATTTCAGAGGAATCTTCAAAAAGCTCATGGGAAATATGTGTTAGAAAAGTAATGCATGGATTTAAACAATTTTGCACCAAAATGAACTTGTACTTTCCATTTTTTCTACAAACTTAAATTTATTTTTGGGGTTGGCAGGTGGCATGGTGGTTAAAGGCGCTGGAATTCCACATGGCCAATCATGGTTCAAGTTCCGGACCTGGTGGGTTGCTTTCTTACTTTCCCTCTCTTTCTCTGTCTCTGGTCAAATTAAAAAATAACAAATGGAGGGACCAGCAGTTAGTGTAATGGCTATGTTGTTGAACTCCCATGTAGTTGACCATGGTTCAAGTCCCAGACCTGGTGGCTTGAAACTTATACGGGTGTGTGTGCGTGCGTGCCCAAGGTCCCAAGAGGAGAATGGAGGAGAAGGGATTGTGGCGTGGCCATCCCCCCTGGGGGGTGATTTCTCACTTTCTGTCTGTCTCTCTCTGTCTGTCTGGTGGGCACACGCACCGCACCCTATAAACCTCTCCAAAAAAAAAAAAAATGGAATTAAAATAAATAAATGTTTAAAATATTTATTTTTATTATTATTATTTTTTAGTTTGCTATAGGGCATGTACACTCACCAGAGAGAGGGAGAAGAAGAGAGACAAAGTAAGTGAGGTCCAGGACTTGAACCATGGTCGGCCATGTGGGAGTCCAGCACCTTCACCACCACACCAGCAGCCAGCCCCTTTCTATAAACTTTTTCAAGTACTTTTGTGCTATGTTTTCATCTGTTCTGAAGCTTTCTTTAGCTCTGTTCTGTTACATTGATTGGTCTATTCCTTGCCAGTTTTGCATTATTTTGATCACAGTGGCTTTATAGAAAGTTTCTTACTTGGTAAGACAGCTTCCTCCTGATTATTCTGTCTTTTCAAAGTTATCTGAGCAGTCTTCACCCCTTATTTGGGCTTGCTTCCAGCCTCTCACGTCAGCCATGGTAACTCTGATAGTTGGGTTGCTCTAGCAGTGAGATGGAGCGGTCTATCCTGCCATATTTATGAACATTAACATAAACTTTGGGCTCGTACACAAAGTTTAGGATCACCGTTGAGAATAGGAAATCTGGAATTTGGGGATAAACATGCTACTGAGGATTTGCAGGCTTCATCAGAGTTGTTCAGGGCAATGACAGTCATAAATCAATCTGACTCTTGTGATACCAGACATACTATGTAGAGTTGTCCCCATGAGAAGCAGCTTTGTGAGGAACCAGTATCTGTCTTTGTGACTTTGGATTGGGGGTTGATCTTCACAAACAGCTCGCCCTTTCCTGCCACGGCCACTTAGTACCAGAGACTCAGCTTTCCCGACTGAGGTCATTACAGGTTCTTTGTTTGCCGGATCCCATGCTCTGGAGGATGTCTACCTTTCATAGAGGGACCCCCAAAGTGAGTTTCATGAATATTTCAAGTTATACCATTCATATTGGGAGAAGATCCACCTCGCTATTTTTGCTTGACTTGTTAACAATTTCATTTACATAACTGTAATGTCCTTTAATTCTTTTTACTTCAAAGCAAAATCCCATTTGCAGTTCTTTTTTTATTTTTTAAGAATTATTTTACTTATTTATTTATTATTTTTTCACATGAGTTTTGCCAGAGAGAGGGAGGGAGAATGAGAAAGCAAGCCACCAGGTCTGGGACTAGAACTGTCAGCCATGTGGGAATTCCAGTGCCTTAACCACCACGCCACCTGCTGGCTGGACAAATCCTTTTTGGAAAAAAGAGGGGGGGGGGGGCAGCAGGTGGTGTAGAGGTCAAAGCGGCTGGATCTCACGTGGCTGACTCTGTGGTTTGAGTTTTGGACCCAGTGGCTTGAAAATCACTCTGGGTATGTGTACATGTGTGCCCAGAAACCCTGCCAGAGGGCACATGGACTTGCCAGAGAGCCAGAAAGACAGAGGGGAAAGGAAGAAAGCGCCTCCCAGTTGGGCGTGGTCATGACACGATCCCTCTCTAGCTCTCCATCCTGTTGGGATTTGGGGAAAGCAGGCACAGCATGTTTGCCAAGCCATCAGGGTTGGAATTTGAACCGCCATTAGCCATGTCATATCTGGCTCACTTTAACCAGTCTATGGGGTCAGTCTTCAATATTTTATAGTATCATGAAATCTTAATTATGGCATCATGTTCAATAACATTACTGAAGTCCCAGTCAATCACTAAGTTTCTGAACATCCCAAGCAGTTACTACTCAAGCTCTGCACAATTACCTCTATAACAGATTTCATAAGGAAGTGCCGGTAGGTGGTGTGGAGGTAAAGGCACTGGATTCCCACATGGCCGACTACAGTTTGAGTCCTGGACCTGGCAGCTTGCTTTCTCACTTTCGTTTTTTTCTTTCTCTTCAAATTAAAAAAAAAAAATGAAAAATTAAATAATTCTTTAAACTTTTTTTTTTTTTGGAGAGGTTTTTTGCTATAGGGCGCATGTGCTTGCCAGAAAGACGGAGAGAGACAGAGAGATAGAAAGCAAGAAATCACCCCCCGGGGGATGGCCACACCACAATCCCTTCTCCTCCATTCTCCTCTTGGGATCTTGGGCACGCACTCACATGCGCCCGGTGTGAGTTTAAGCCACTGGGTCTGGGACTCGACCCGCGGTTGACTACATGGCAGTTCAGCGACATAGCCATTATGCTAACTGCTGGTTCCTGTTCTTTAAAAATTTTTTTACATTACTCATTTGTCATGCCAAAAAGTATGCCTTAAATCCTTCTACTCTGTAGTTTTAACTATCCACAAACTACTTTACTTTTTTTTTGAACTTGCCAGAGGGCCTGTGTGCTGGACGGAGAGAGTGAGAGAAGGAAAGTGAGAAAGCACCTGTTAGGGGAATGGTCACACCACAGTCTCTCTTCTCTCTCTCCTTTTGGGGTTTTAGACACCCATGCACACAATCCTGGTATGTTTCTCAAGCTGCCAGGTCTGGGACTTGAACCATGAGGTCAGCCATATGGGATCCAGCCACCTTAATTGACATGTCACGGGCTGGCCCTATTTTACTTTTCACATGTAAAGAGTAAAATCTTTTTTATCTTCATTAACAGGAGGAAATAAGCTAGTGGCCTTTTTGTTTTGCTCTTAGCTGTGGTTTTTCTGCCACAGAAACAGAGCTCCACTCATGAATCTGTGGGCATTCAAGTGGCTCACCAGGCAGAAAAATCTCAAGATATGGATGGTTTTGCTTGTAGGAGACATAACTCACTCCTCTTCACAGAAAAAAATGCCTGCTTGCTTCAATTCCACAACCCACTTATCTTCATTATCTACCAGTGGAAAACTGAACATCTGAAGATTCTATTAGGAATTTGGTGAAGGTGGTAACTTCCTGAGGCACTTGGAAGGGACCCTGGGCAGTTCAGCTATGTGTGCTCAGGGCATTATGAAATCATTATTGGGTAGAAGCTGGAATAGCCAATCTGATATTTAGCTCAGAATTATACTTTTAACTCAGAATTGTTGATACTTTACAGTTATATTTAGACTTAAAATTTTGAAGGTCCCATCCCAGGTAAATGCAGATGGAGATGAAAATCAGGATGCAAATCAGTGGCCATCATCTCAACAATTAAATGTTGCTTATGCAAAGTATGTATCCACAATCAGTTCTATTGTTTGGCAGGAAAAAGTCTTCCAATATCTTGAATTTCATTAACATAGGAACAGGCAAAAAACTATAATAGTAAAGAATCTCATTTCTAGAAAAGTCATTTGAAATATCAAGAGGTGGGCTTGAGAGTAGCATACAGGTTAAGGTCGTGTGTGGGGGCCAGCAGATAGTGTAACAGCAATGTTGTTGGGCCCCTTCATGGCCAACTGCATTTCAAGCCCCGGAACCGGTGGCTTAAAAATCATGCCAGGTGTGTGTGCGTGTGTAGGAAATGGGACTGTGGTGTGGCCAACATCCCTAGGGAGTGATTTCTGACTCTCCCGCTGTTTCTCTTTTTTTTTCCGCTCTCCTCACCCTCCCTCCCTCTCTCCTCCCTTTGCAGCGAGAACACACGCCCTACGGCAAAAACCTCTTACAAAAATAATCAAGTGTGTGGTTTGCAGTATGAGGACTGGGGAGCTCTGGCTTAGCTGACAAAATCTGTATCCCAGCTTCGAGAGCATGTTTATTACTGCACATCAATTCCCCATCTGGTAAGTCCAAAGCACCATGGCATACACACATACAACCAAGTCTCTTTGCACTTAAAGAGCTCACAGTTGAACATGGAAGCAAGTAACTGAACAGTTCCGTATAATACACGCTGAAATGAATCAATGTCTTGAGGGCATTTCAGTGTGGACTGGGCTTCCAGGGTGGAGCTAATTATGTATGGCCTGCAAGGAAAGCATCCCCGAGCACAGTGGTGCTACCACAGAGGCTCGATTCTGAAACACGATGATGATCAAGTAAATATTCAGCTTGCATTAAAAAAGCAAAATGAACAATTAAAAAAGAACTAAAGTGTGTGTGTGCCCACTGCAGAGAGAAATGGTGAGAAAGCACTCCCTTGGAACAGTCATACTGCAATCCCCACGATTCCCCCTCTCCCATTTCTTCCTTCCCTTGGAACCCTGGGCATGCACACACAGGACTGTGTTTTTCAAGCCAGGACTCAAACCATGTGGTTGGGCCGTGTGGGTTTCGGCTGCCTTAACCACCATGCCATAGGCTGATCTTAAACTAAACAATTCTTAAAATAATCCATATGGGCCAGTAGGTAGCATGGTGGTTAAGGTGCTGGATCCCATATGGCTGACTGCATGGTTGGAGTCCTGGACCTGGTGGCTTGAGAATTATGGCATGTGTGTGTGTATGTGTGCATTACTCACAATTTTGAGAGAATGGAGATGGGGTTGTGGCATGGTTACCCTCACTGGAGGAGGGGTAATCTCTTTCCTTCTCTTCTTGTCTCTCTCTGGGTGAGCACACATGCCAAACTATAGCAAAACTAATAAAATAAAATGATTTACTGTGGCAGTGGTACTGGGAAGATGATCATGAATCAAAATTTGCTATTGAGTAATGAAATTAATATAAAATGAAAAAAGATTATTTGGAGAGATTTTTGCTATAGAGTATATGCACTTAATGAGAGAGACAGAAAGCAAGAAATCACTCCCTGTGGGTTTGGCCATCCCGTAATCCCTTCTCCGTTCTCATGGGATCTTGGGCACACACTCACACACACCCGACATCAGTTTCAGGCCTCTGGGTCAGGGATTTGAACTGCAGTCAGCCATGTGGGAGTCCAGTGATGTAACCATTATGCTTTAATTGGTTCATGAGCATGACTCAGATGTGATCTACATTTGATGTTTCTTGGAGTTCCAGTTTTTTTTCTTTCTTTTTTTGCTATGGGGTGTGTGCACTTGCCAGAGAGAGACACACACAGAGTGTGTCATTCTCTAGGGGGGATGGCCATGCTGCAATCCCTTCTCCTCCATTCTCAAACTCTGAGGACATGCACACAATGCACCTAGCATGTCTCAAGCTGCTGGGTTCAGGACTCAAACCACAGTTGGCCATGTGGGAATCCAGCACCTCAACCACTATATCACCTGCTGGCTCTGGAGTTGCAGCTTTCTAGAAGAGATGAATAATCAGAATCAGAAAAACTTAAGGCAGAAAAACAGTGGCTATTTATCTTTTCCTACTCAAGATGCAGCAATTGACATTTGTAATGACTATAGCTTTCAGACTGAAACATCTCTTTCATCTCTTTAGGCTGGAAATAAAGTGTAAACCTCATTGGCTACAAATACCTCCTTGAACTTCAAGTTCAGATTCTCTTTATAAAGCCAACTATATGAATGACATTGAAGCAGTGAAGGGATGATGTCAAAGACTACACTAATTTCAGTGGTAAGAAAAAAGTGCTCATTCTGTTATCAAACATGAGAATACTAACACTACAAAAGGACTTTTGATTTCGTAATTTCAATTGAAGCTATTAGAAAAGGGATATTACTGAGAACTTGTATTGGCAGGAGAGTCTATGTGCTCATAAACCAATCAGGACCTGTTTAAGTAAAGAACTTTTAAGAGAGGTTTTTGCTATAGTGTGTATGTGCTTACAAGAGAGACAGAGACAAAAAGTGAGAAATCATCTCTGTGGGGGCAGCTCACCACAATCCCTTCTCCTCCACTCTCTCCATTCTCTTCTCAGACTCTGGCATGCACACATTTGTGCCCAGCTTGAGGTGGTTTTTTTTTTTTTTTTTTAAGAGTTTTTTGCTATAGGGCACGTGCACTCACCGGAAAGACAGAGAAAAACAGAAAGCAAGAAATCACCCTCCAGAGGGGATGGCGATACTGCAGTTCCTTCTCCTCTTGCTTTCCTCCTGGGATCTTGGGCACGCACGCACACATGCCTGGTGTGAGTTTAAGCTGGTGGGTCCAGGACTTGAACTGTGGTTGGCCATGTGGGAGTAGTGACATAACTGCCATGCCATCTGCTGGCCCTTAGTAAAGAACTTTTTTCTATTAAAATTACTGTCTACAAAATACATCTTCATTTGAATCTGTAACACATTCTAGATGTATTCTTTTGAGAATAGATTTTTTTTGGACCAACAGTTGGTGTAATGGCTATGTTGCTGGACTCCCATATAGTTGACCGTGGTTCAAGTCTCAGACTTGGTGGCTTAAACTCAAGCCAGGCACGTGTGCATGCATGCCCAAGATCCCAAGAAGAGTGGAGGAGAAGGGACTGCGGTGTGGCCATCCCCCTGGGGAGTAATTTCTGTCTCTTTGGTACTCTAAAGCAAAAAAAGCCTCTCAAAAAAAAAAAAAAAAAGAATAGATTTTTTAAAAAGAACTTGTACCCTATTTAAGTGTTTAAATACTAAAATAATTAAATTCTAGGACATTCTAAATAATATTAAGAGGTTTATCAGACCATGTTCCATTCTAAGCACTCTGTAACCCTACTACAGACAAAGGCAGAGAAAAGCAAGGGAGGGAGGACAATATCTAGAATCACAAGCCATTTTTTAAGAAAAATAAGAGTGGTTTTATTGATCACATATAATTTTAGCTATATTAATATATATTATAAATTTTAAAAATTAGAAATAAATGACTTTTTTTTTTTTTTTAAACCAAGAATGAGTTTAGCTATGGCAGCATGTTCAATGAAAATTACTGAAGTTCTGCATGGACATTATATATTCATTTTCAGATAATGAGGGTCACCAACCAAGCTTTACATCGGGAAACAATAGTTACCCCATACACAAATTTTATCATGTAGAAATAAGACATTATGTATTCTTTCCCAGCATTTATTCTTTTTGTCATAAAGATAATATCCTCCAAATAATCTTCCTCTAAAGTACAAAATTTAACCTTTTATCTACAACAGTTGTTGCCTCAATGCACTCTCATGTTGGAAAGCAGTAAGGGCACGACAACAGCATAATGCTGTCTGCGCCTTGTTATCTGGGAGCTTTCATTTTTACCCCAAACCTCGATTTACAATTAAATCACTCCCACATACTCACGTACGAACGTCTTTCCAGATATACACTTAACACAAAGATAGAAACTGCCCATCTCTGTTAGTGTGAACAGGTATTTGGCAGATTACAGAAATAAAACTGCAGTTGGAAACGAAAATGCTTTAGTGTTTTGTAGCTGAAGAGACTGATGAATGTCATTCAAATTTCTCGTCTCCTTCTTCCACATCTTTCAAGTTGAGTACTTCCAAAGAACCTTTGCCTTTTGTTTCCTTTTTAATTAGCTCATCAATTTCTCTGAAGCAGCCTGGGTCAATGAGACATACCTGAAACATTTAACACGGCTGTTTACCAAGTGAAGCTGTACAAATACGACAGAATAAACTCAGCTTAAGCTTCCTTTATGACAAAACACAAGGCTTTCCAGACCTTTCTAAAACTACAGATCTACGGTGCAGTAGATAAGGCAATGGGTAGGGCAGCAGAGGGGGGTCTCATCTAGCTTCTGCCCTTAGGTGTCCACATAGGTCCTCAAGACGAGGCACTCATCTCCTTGTTTAATGACTTACCCAGATTCCTCAGCTGTAAACAAGGGGTCAGATGGAAAGACGAATGTCCTTTCAAACAAATTCAGCACTAAATTTTATAATTCAGTGAAATCTCCACATACGAAGGAGAAAAAGCATATTAAAGACCTATGTGGGGGGAACTAGCAGGTGGTGTGGTGGTTAGGGTGCTGGACACTCCCACATGGCTGATCATGGTTCAAGTCCTGGACCTGGTGGCTTGCTTTCTCACTTTCTCTCTCTCTGTCTCCCTCTGGTCAAATTAACAAATAAATGAATGAATAAATAACTCTTTAAAAAAAAAAAGACCTATTTAGAAACCATGTGTAAAATTTGTCAAGATTTTATACTCAGCAGTACTAAACAATGCTCTATAGCTCGCATATTTGTTAGACCGCAGAGCCTTTAAGGCAGGCATGATTTTGTGGCCAACTGAATTTATACTATGTTTGAAGCTATGGAGTGAGAACCCAAACACAACAGTGGTTTTGCTGCTTTGTTAAACTGTTTTGTGATAAATGAGGCTGACTAATCTTCAGTCTTACTTCTATTTGTTCCATAATAGAAGACTCATATAAAACATATCTGTGTATCTAAAATGAACAGGACTATTATAAATGACCATGGGATAGATAGGTTTTTTTGATAAGGCCTTGTGATGTTGTGATTGATGCCCTGCCCAGCCTCCAGTTAGCCAGGATTACAGGTGCAGACCATACTGAACCTGGGCCTCCCCTGCGGCCTTGTACAGTGCGCCCTACTACTTATGTCACTGTGGGTGGGCCTCACATATTATCATGAGTAACTTAACTGGGAAAAAAAAACCTGTAAGTGTGAATAATTACAATTTAGTTCTACTTTTACCTTACATTATTAACCTGCAGATAACTTACTGTTCATATTGCTTACATATTTATGACTATAAATAGACTACTTTGGTAACATGGAAGCAAAAAACGTTTAATCTTACAATTTCCAACTGTTGGCTGTAGTCTTCACTCTCTATAACCTTTATCAGTGGTTTGAGTTTTTCTTTCAATTTCTTCCCTTCGTTCACTGGAAGAATGAACCGAAGTCTCATGTGAGCACGTTCTATCTTCATTTTCTCCTTTAACTGTTTTATCACTTCCAAAGCCTATCAAGATAAAATTGAAAACACTTGTAATTCCTTTAATTCGGCTGTTGTATCATTTCATAAGGCATTCAACAACAAAGCTGTTTCTATGTACTCAGTTGCTGGAAAAGTCATGATGTATTTTTCTTTTTTTTAATGTAAAAATGCAGTCATAACCTTTCTGACAACCCAGTGGATTTTTTTTTTGGGGAGAGATTTTTGCTATAGGGCATGTGCACCTGTCAGAGAGAGAGAGAGCGCGAGCGAGCGAGCGGGAAATCACCCCCTGAGGGGTGTGGCCACATGGCAATCCCTTCTCCTTCATTCTCCTCTCGGGATCTTGGGCACACACACACACGCACCTGGCGTGAGTTTAAGCCACCGGGTTTGGGACTCGAACCGCGGTCAACTATATGGGAGTCTAGTGACAAAGCCATTACACCAACTGCTGGCCCCACTGGTTGTGTTTTTTTTTTTTTTTTCTAAGATATGTCACAAGAATGTAAGTAGCTATAGAAAAAAACAAAAATTGGGCTTTATTAAGATGAAAAACTTCCATGCTTCAAAAAACACTATCAAGAAAGTGAAAACCACTGAATGAGAAAAAACACTTGTAAATCGTATTTGGTAATGAGTAGTATTCAGATTATATAAAGAACTCTTGCAACTCAACAATGAAAAGACAAATAATTGGGAACCAGCAGTTAGCATAATGGCTATGTCGCTGGACTCCCACGTAGTCGGTTTGCATCCTGGACCCGGTGGCTTAAAACTCACGCCGGGCGCGTGTGCGTGCGTGCCCAGGATCCCGAGAGGAGAATGGAGGAGAAGGGATTGCGGCGTGACCATCCCCCCTGGGGGGTGATTTCTCGCTTTCTGTCTCTATGTCGCTCTCTGTCTGGCGAGCGCACATGCCCTATAGCAAAAACCTCTCAAAAAACAAAACAAAAAACAAATAATTAAAAAATAACCCAGGGAATCTTAATAGGGGTTTCTCCAAAAATAGATACATTAATAACCATCTCAAAGTATGTTCAAGTCTTTTGTTAATTTACAGAGAAAAACCAGTAAAATCCTACCATGATGGCTATAATAAAAAAGATGGAAAACAAGTACTGCTGAAGATGAGGAGAAACTGCAGCCTTTATACACTGATGATGGGAATGTTAAAATGGTGCAGCTGCTTTGGAAAAAGTTTTGGCAGTTCCTCAAAAGATTAATTACCATATGACTCAGCGATACCATTGTCAAGCACAGAGAAATGAAAATATGCCCAAACAAGAAACTTGTAATGAATTTCATAGCAACGCTGCTCACAATAACTAAAAAGTTAAAACAATCCAATGTTCACTAACTAATAAACAAAACAGTCCACATAATGGAATATTATCCAGCCATAAAAAGAAATGAAGTATGGCCCATGTACAACATAGATGAACCTTGAAAAGACCACATATGATCTCCCTTATGTGAAACATCTGGCAAGTCTATGCAGACAGAAAGTAGATTAGTGGTTGCCAGGGCAGTTGGGGAATGGGACGAGGGTTTCCTTTTGGTTGATGAAAATGTTATCAAGTTAGGTAGCAGGGAAGATTCCATAACTCTGTTAATATACCACTGAACTGTATGTTTATAAAAGGGTGACTTTCACAGTATGTGAATTATAAATAAATAAACTAAGGAGTTAAAATGACCTTTTTAAAAAAAAAAGATTTAACTTTATTTATTTTTAATTTGAGCAGAGAGCGACACAAACACACACACACACTCACACACACACAGAGAGAGAGAAAGAGAGAGAGAGAGAAATAGAGAAAGTGAGAAAGAAAACTTCCAGGTCCAGGACTTGAACCATGTTAGCCATGTGAGGATCCAGTGCCATCAACCACCATGTCACTTGCCTGCCCCTTAAAATGACCTTTTAAAAATCCAAGTTTTGGGGCTGGCAGGTGGCATGGTGATTAAGGGTGCTGGATTCCCATATGGCTGACCACGGTTTAAGTCCTAGACTTGGTGACCTGGTAGCTTGCTTGCTCGCTCGCTCGCTCTCTCTCTCCCCCCTCTCTCTGGTCAAATTATAATAAATAAATGAATAAATAAAGGTAAATAAAATTTTTTTTTTTTTGAGAGATTTTCACTGTAGGGCGCGTGTGCTCGCCAGACAGACAGAGAGAGACATAGAGACAGAAAGCGAGAAATCCCCCCCCAGGGGGGATGGTCACGCCGCAATCCCTTCTCCTCCATTCTCCTCTCAGGATCTTGGGCACGCGCGCACACATGCCCGGCGTGAGTTTTAAGCCACCGGGTCCGGGACACGAACCGTGGTCGACTACGTGGGAGTCCAGCGACATAGCCATTACGCTAACTGCTGGTTCCCTTTAATGATTTTTTTTTTTTTTAAATAAAATATTCTTTAAAAAAAAAAAAAAATTCAAGTTTCTGGAGCTGGTAGATGGTTTGGTGGTTAAAGGTGCTGGGTTCCCACACGGCCGGCCATGGTTCCAGTCCTGGACCTGGCGGCTTGATTTTGCGCTTTCCCTTTCTCTGTCTCTCTCTCTAGTCAAATTGAAAAAACAAAAAAACAAAAAAAACAATGGAATTAAATACATACATAATTCTATGGAAAAAAATCTAACTTTCTGTCTTTAAAACACTTGCTTTGTATAGAAACAGAAGCCCTATATACATCTGTGTTTAGTTAAATTATGTTTCCCCTGTTTACAACTCCCACCTTGTCTCCAAACTCCCTACCCACCTGCTTCCATGCAGACCCATTACTTCAAATATTTCTTTGGGGAAAACTGATATTCATGGATCAATTTTTATGACACTACAAACCACTTACCTGCTGTTTTGTACTCTTGTTGGTTTTGACTGAATAGTGGATGTCCTTCATGGCTCTTTCAATAAGGATAACAGTGTATGGTCTCTTTGTTTCCGGGTTCACACACTTGTCTGCTACAATAGTTGCAATGTCCCTAAACATCTGCTCCAGCTGTGTGTGCCTTTCTTTATCTGATACTTGAACCTCTCCTTTAGTCAAAATCTAAAAACAAAGGACACAACAAATGTAAGAAAGCAATATCTTAATGTATTATGCACTAATTAACAACAAGAATGAAAAACTAGGAAGAAAACATTATTTCATCTCTAGCTACTGATACATAGGTAACAATCTGTGCTTTTGCCTAAAGGTTACACTGAATTGAGTTGTGGTTCAAAATCTCACTTGTCAGAGGGTCAGGTGGGAGAAAGGGAAAAAGCAATATTAGCAAAGGGTCTAAAGGATGAAATACTTGCAGGCATAGCACATTAAGTTAGTAGAAAATTTAATTTCTGGAGATCCTGGCAAAAATCTGTATTAATAATCCATATTCTGTATTATTAAAAGTGATGGTGAGAAATTCACATTATTGTACGGTGACTGTTTCCTCCAGAAAAAGATAAAGTTCAACAAACCCGCAGGTATTTAGTCTACAAATGAATATCAAGGTCAACTGTGCTTCAGTTGCCAGAACTCACCTGTTTACAGATTTCAGTTTGATCATCTGTTCCAAATGCACTGACCAGATCTTCCTTCTTTGCAACCTGACCTTTGGAAACATTTACAAACACAGAGTGCGTCTGCAGGACTTCATCAAGGTCTTTTTCCCTTGTAAGGGCAAGAGAGAAAGTCCCATGTGAATACACTCTACACTTGGAAATTCAGTGACATTTAAAAATACAAAATGGCAACGACATCAATAACAAGAACAGCTAATATTTCTAAATGACCCTTGGTGCTGAGGGAATATTTTTCAATAAGTCTGGACCGTATCTGTATTCCCAGTTACTCATTGGAGAAAAACGTCAAGGGCGCATGTGTGTAGCTCTGGGGTGGGGTTGGGTGGGGCAAGGTAGGGAAAAGCTGTTGCTACAGAGAATTCCAGTCCCTAGATGGCAGTAATGAAGACACTACGCACTTCGGTGACACTACCGGGCTACTGAAATCTATCAAATGTACCATAACTTTGACAGCATTTGGAGAACTAGACTTCCAGCTTTATTCTGAAAAAAGAACTGTAATTATGGGGTTTCTTGGCTGTATCTCTTACAATACCAGTGAAACAAGCCCTCAAAACCACCACCCAATCCAAACCAACCAAAATAGGCTGGCCCAGATGCCAAACTCGGGAAGGGCAGCGACTTCTCAGGCCCACTAGAAGAAATTTCCCCTTTCTTTCCC